GTGAACATGCTCAATATACTTAGTCGCTCCTCATGGTCCAGTTCTTCAATTCCCTCAATCATTTTGGTTGCTTTCCTTTTGATACTTTTTTGATACATCCGAACATCTGGTTTGCTTTACACACTGCCACAGAGCACCGTTGCAAGAGCTTCAATTTATTGTCAATCAGGACTCCGAGGTCCTTTTCATTTTCCATACATATTATTTACTTCCGTTCAAATAATAGTCCCTTCCGTGATTTTTTTGTGCCTACGTGAAGTACTTTACATTTCTCCACATTGAATTTCATCTGCCACCGATCTGCCCAATTCTCAAGAATGTTCAAATCTTCCTGTAGCCATTTTGTTCAGCTTCGCAATCTACCACTTTCATTAGCTTGGTGTCATCAGCAAACTTAGCCACTGTGCTTATGACTCCTAGTTCCAGATCATTTATAAAAATATTAGATAAAAGAGGTCCCAAAACAGACCCTTGTGGAACTACACCGGTATCATTTTCCCAGTCTGATGATATTCCCTGTACCACCACCCTCTGGGTTCTTCTGGTCAACCAATTGCATGTCCATTGTAATATACTTCCACTGATTCCTGCTTTCTTTACTTTCAGTACCAGTCACTCAAGAGGAACTGTATCAAAGTCCTTCCTGAAATCAGATATACAACATTCACAGCCTTACCCTTATCAAGTTCCCTTGTCACAACGTCAAAGAAAACCAGTAAATTAGATTGGCAAGACATTCCCTTCATTAACCCATATTGGCTATCATTTATGGAATTATTTCTATCCAAATGCTCCATGATTTTATCCATAATAAGAATCTCCATAATTTTACCCACATTAATAATAATAATCCTTGCATTTGATATAGCGCTTTTCACGTCGGGAGGAAGTCCCAAAGCGCTTCACAGAACACACTGTAAAGTGAATTGATTGTATATTTGTGGGCGAACGCGGCAGCCAATTGCGCACAGCAATGTCCCACAAACAGTCGTAGATTGAAAATGACCAATTTATTATTGTTTTTGGTTCTTTGGATGGATTATTATTAGGCTCTGTCTGGAGTAAGAAAACTTGCCCAAGGTTTCGCCCTGACCTGCCTGGAATTGAACTCAGGTCTCTCACTTGCAAAGCGAGTGCTCTAACCACTGAGCTACAGGACTCCACATTGGCCGTCAAACATACTGGTCTGTAGTTTCCTGGGTCACTTGTGTTACCTTTCTTAAAAATAGGAGTAACATCTGCCTTTCTCCAGTTCCCCGGCACCTCTCCAGTATTCAATGATTTTAGAAAGATTTGTGCCAGCGTTTCTGCGACTTCCTCCCTTAGTTCCTTACGGATCCTCGGATGCAATTAATCTGGCCCCTGAGATTTATTTACCTTACGTTTACACAGCTGTTTGACAACCATGCTGGTAATGATATGAATAGTGTCGCAAGTATTCTCTGCGACATCCTTGAGTTCGCTTTCCAGATCAGATAGGTTACCCGTCTCTTCCTTGGTAAAGACTGATACAAAAAACACGTATTTAGCACTAAATAAGTGTTAATTTAGCATTGTGTCTTTAACATTATTAAGCACTGAAGCACAAGGTGCTCAAAAACTATCAAGCACCTTGGTAAAGACTGATGCAAAAAACTTATTTAGCACTAAATAAGCACTATTTAGCACTGGCTGAGAAACATTGTTCCACTTCTCAACTCTTTCCGACTCAAATCTTATTACAACTGGTAACAGCTGAACTAAAGACAGTAATAATAATAATAATAATCCTTGCATTTGATATAGCGCTTTTCACGTCGGGAGGACGTCCCAAAGCGCTTCACAGAATATACTGTAAAGTGAGTTGACTGTATATTTGTGGGCGAACGCGGCAGCCAATTGCGCACAGCAATGTCCCACAAACAGTTATAGATTGAAAATGACCAATTTATTATTGTTTTGTTTTTTGGAGGGATTATTATTAGGCTCTGTGTGGAATAAGGAAACTTGCCCAAGGTTTCGCCCTGACCTGCCTGGAATTGAACTCAGGTCTCTCGCTTGCAAAGCGAGTGCTCTAACCACTGAGCTACAGGACTCCACAACATGAGAAAATGAGAACATAGGTTTAGATTTAAGAAGGGCGATTCCAGGAAGGTTTTTATTTATTCAGAGGGTAATTAATGACTGGAATAGGTTGCTGGGAAGGGTGGCAAATTAATATTGAATTTAATATTGAATTTAAAATGAGTCTAGGAGTCTTAAAAAGCAGCTTGATGCTGTGATGGGAAGAAAGATGATAGGCTAGGCATTCTGGACGGATGAAATCAGATGGGTCGAATAATCTTATTCATCCAAACCAATCTTGTGACTTTGTGGAAGTACAAGATATTCTTTTAAATTAACGTGACAAACTGGCATTCAATACATTTTACCTCATGCCTACGAGAAAGCCCTCAAAGCAGTGCAACCAAGAAACCAATTTAATTCTGGCAATGTACAAAGCCAGTTATTGAACATTTGGTTTCAGTATACTCTTGGCAAGCCAGGTGAGCAGATTCTAATTCTAATTTCTTTTAATGATCTGTTAATAAGTTACCCTTCCCAATAAAGGTACAATCTGTCTATGATTAATGTTTCCTGGCATCAGTTAAAATTACCAATAAAAGTATCTCTGCTTTGCTTTAATGATTCTCATTATCAACGGGGAAACAATAACATTCAAATGTAGAGACGCAGCAGAATCCACTTAAAGGGCTTTTGTCTCACAATTCTAAAACATTGCAGGATGCAGTTAGAATCTGCTGGCATTAATTTATTTCCATTTGCAAAGAAATAGCAAACTTTTTATATTTTGTGATTTACTTACATCCTCTTACCTTTCATTTAAAAATCAGCTTGATGGTGTGATGGGAGCATGAGAGGGCTGGCATTCTGAAGGGATGCGGTCATATGGGCTAAAGGACCTTTATTATCCAAACCAATTTTGTGAGCTTGTAAGTGTCACTCTGTTTGAAAATTATTCTCTATAAATTACAATTTACACCCTGGTAACAAGTAACACCTCCCCCTCCTCCAGAAAATCGATAACAAATATATATTTACATACAGTACTGACATTAACTTACAATAGTTTTAAGTATTGGTCCCTCTACAATCCCAAAATCCCACCTAGACTTAGCCTCTAAAATAAGTTTGTCTCAAAATTTAAGAATGTGCACATTGTGGAAAATTTTTAAAATCTATTTGAATTTGGAAGTTGGTTTACGCAGTTCTTAAAATGACTGAATTTGAAGAATGTTCCACAATTCTGTGCATCTTAAATTTTAAGGGAAAATAGTCTTACAGGTCAGGACCAAGTGGAAATTCTGGTCTGTGGCTATTCTAAGTTATTCCTGTTATTATCAGACACATACATTGCTGCGGGAAGCGAGACACCTGGATTCAATTCCAGGCAGAGCAAAACCTTGAGCAAGTTTCCTTACTCCACACGCCTAATAATAATCCCTCCAAAAAACAAAACAATAATAAATTGGTCATTTTCAATCCACGACTGTTTGTGGGATACTGCTATGCACAATTGGCTTCCCCGTTTCGCCCACAAATATACAGTCAATTCACTTTATAGTATATTCTGTGAAGTGCTTTGAGAGTCGAGAAGATGTGAAAAAGCGCTATATCAAATGCAAGGATTATGAATGTCATATACGCACATACAGCATCACTACATGCAGGACTCCATAAGAGTTGCTGATCATCTGAGAATATGGTGGACATTGACTCACTTTCTGTTACACAGTAAAGGAAGACACTTAGAGAGGATTCAACTGAAGGTACTGTATGTTTGAATAAAATTAAGCAAAAGTACTGAGTGGGGCAACATACAGCAAACCACATGGTAAGTAATAACTATTGGCAGGTTAAAGGCTAATTATCTCAAGTTCACGTATGGATTCTCTGAGGGGCATTTATAATTTATTGTCAATTTGAGTCACATTAGGTCTTATGTGATATTGTGTTTTTTTAAAGTTATATTTCTTAACAGATTCAGGTCCCTACATTTCACCCAGCCTTTGCCTGTTAAGACTGTTTTGTCGTAAAGTTTAAAATGGTGCATCATTGTAGAAAATTCTTAAATCCAGTTTTAATTTGCAATTTATTTCAGTGTTCCAAATTGAGACCGAAGATTTTTCCTCAATTCAGTGGTACCCTCATTTTTAAGATGTAAACAGTCTTAAAGGATTTTATATGTCTTGTATAGTAGAGGGAATAGGAGGAATGGGGGTTCGTATGGAGTATAAACACCAGAATGGACTAGTCAGCCAAGTGGCCTGGTCTGTGCCCTATTACTCCATGTAACTCTTATTTTCTTACAGGATAAGACCAGGTTGAATTTCAGGCCTCTCAGTGTGTTATTGAAGAATTACTGATTCCATTAAGAAGCATATTTCACCCTCTTATTTCAGATGTTTTGCATTCATTTAGATTTGGCATCAATGCTACGAGTGCTGGCTAGCTCAATTTTATATACCGTATCTGTACAGTTCTACATCGACGGCTCATTTTGGTTCCTCTGGGAAATTGCATGGACTGCATTGCAAAGTTGTGCAGCTGCACAAAGGCATGTTTTATGCTTTTCATCATAGAATATTTTAAAGTGAAGCCTGAATAAGTTGACAAACTAAAATTGGGAAGGATGTTCTCAATGGTATAACCTTTGGTACATACAAAAAAATGACATTCATTTACTTTCCAGTGACATGAACTGTTGAAACTCAGCATCCCTTTTTAGTCTTTCTGTTTTTGTCTTTGGAGGTGACCATTTAGTAATGTGTTGTGACCTTGTATGTGCATATTCTGTATGACACAGCTATTATTTATTTCTGTCTTTCTTGTGCTAAATCATCCTTGATATCTGACTCTTGTCAATGCTGGCATTTTTGGTTATTGTAATTAATATTTTAGCAGTATGTTTTCCTTTTTTTAATCATATTCTGGCTCTCTCTGTTTTCTTGATGCTGCAGTTGCAAACATACTGTGGCGAGAGGAAGGTACTGAAGCAAGTTCTTGTGTTGTAGTGATTATGTACTTGTCTTCTGTCCAGTACTGGGATACTTGTTAAAGTATTGATTTATCATTAAAATTGTTGTGTATGTTTTCTGCATCCAAACTTTCAAAACAATATTGTTAGTGGACAGTAATTTATTTGATACTTTTTAACAGCAAGTACATAACTGCTTGTCTTTGTAACCCATCAATTTGTAAATTCCTTGCAAGAATTTTTAATTGTTTTCAGTAGTTACTTCTATTTCGTTTTAACCATTAGTCAGTTTTTAACCATTGTATTATGTAAAAGAAAGTACACTTTTTGTTTGCATGTTAAATTTCCAATCTTGTTTATATTCTGAGGTAACTGCTTTATATCCTGGACCCTCCTTATCAAGCAAACTTTCAAACGTGTTTCCTTTGTTTTGTTTGCTGCCAGGACTGGGTGTGGGAAACATGTTCTACATCTTCTATGAGGATGGAATCAAAGTGATACAACCGATAGAGTGTGAGATTCAGAGGCATATTAAACCTTCAGAGAAAATTCTAGGATACCAGGCAAGTCATTTTCAAATAATAATTATAGCAATAATAATCCTCGCCTTATAGTGCCTTATCATCATCATCGAGACATCTCAGAGTGCTTCACAGAATACACTGTCAGCCATGGAGTGAATGACCAATTTTATTTGGGTGATTGTTGGCCAAGATATACTCCCTTCTCTTTTCGAATTGTGCCATGGGATATCTAAAGTCAACTTGGACAGGTAAACGGGACCTTGGTTTAATATCTCATCTGATGGATGGTACTTCCAATAAAGCAGCACTGCATTGGAGTGACAGTTCAGAGGATATAGGTTACAGTATGAAGCTTGGTAGTATTTACGACACTTTGAAAGGTACTTGTCAAGAAAGTTCATGCCAACCATTCCTATTGTGATTCCTGCACCCTGGCTGTAGATTACACTGTAACACTTATGCCTTCAGAAAATAAATCTTGTCACAAGACAGATGCTGTGTAGTTTTTTCTGCAATCGAACAATTTTGTTGCCAGGGTGAAGACAGGACGTAATAGTAAGTATTTCCACAATTCTTGGATAAGTACATCCACAATTCTTCCAAAAATATATTCCGCTGAACAATTTACATTTCAGAAATAAACATCATAGATCAGCGTTTCATTTTTACTAAACAAGAATCCCCATTAAAATCAGTCTCATGACAACATGTCAAAAGATCTATGGTCTTCCATATCCTGCATAGGAGCAACCAACTCTCGCTTTAATAGTTACGATTTCAGAATTGTTTCATCAAGGGCACCTTTGGCTCCGAAGTTTATCTTTGAGTTTTTTTTCTCATGATCACATATTATTTATTATTATTATTCTAGATGTGCTTTTTTAATATAAATATTCTTCCATTATAGGAAGCATTGAAGGATCATGGTGCTTTGTGTTCACTTATACGGCAGAGTATCTGGGAAGGGTTGATTTCAAACTGATAAAATGTATGGAGCTATTTTTTTTAATTGAAATTTAAGAGCATCCAAGTCTGCTTCCCTAATATTTAAAACTTCACTGACAGCTATAGGCCAATGAACAGAGCCTCCTGTTTGCATCTAAGCGCATAGTTAAGCGCACCGGGATGCTACCCGATCTGAAAGGCGCTATATAAATGCAAATTGTTGTTGTTGTATTCACAAAGCTGCTACAATTTCCCAATTTCAAAAGTGTGGCAGATGGGTTGTATATCTTCAGTCACTGTGCTCTCAGAAATGTTCAGAATCCTTACAATCCTTATATTTGATTTAGCGCAGCTTTCATGTCATGAGGATCTCGCAAAGTGTTGCATAGGTTATGCTATTATGTGACTGTGTTTTGTGGATAAACACAGCAGCCAATTTGCACACAGCAAAATACCACAAACATTCATGAATTGGATGACTCTGATACTGCTTGTACATTCCTGCATCTTCTTTGTGATTTTCATTAGTGTTTTTTTAGATACCTTTCCTAAGATTGATTTGTTTTTCATATAATAATATGGTAACAGCTTTCTCATATTTTCTGACTTCATTGTTGTTCTTAGTCAGCTATGATTCATAGCAGAGTTCATGATTTAGAGCCTCCTACTTCCTACTATTTAAAAAGGAAGAAAAACATTATAAGTGATTGAGGCTATCTTTCAAAACTCGAGAATAAGAAATGACTTGATAGAATCTCCCACATACGATTATTAAGACAGCAGCTGTGTAATTTCTCCCTCGTATATAACTCATTGACTATGAAACTTGGGATAACACCTGCAGCCATTGATGGAATTAAACCCTTTTGGAAGACGCTATTACTTTGATTTAAATATAAATTCAATTTAGTTATGGTGTTAAATTGCATCAAGGTGCAGTCGGTGATCATTGTACATTGGTTTTCTCTAATTCATGCCTTGTCACTTATGATTATGTGTATTCCAACTGCAGTTGTAATTCTGCAGATAGTTGGGGGGATATTGGTTATATAGAGAGTCCTTTAGGCTAAAGATCTTAATGAGAATCCATTTCATGAGTGGTTAGTAAAAAAAATTGTCGTGAGTACCAGCACACACAGTTCAACCTCAGCTACAGTGCACATCCAGAATTATCGAGTATTTTGGGAAGTTCTCCCAATGTGAAAGGCACAATGTAAGTTAAATTGTATTGTGTATGTGGACATTGTACATATATGTTTTCCACTATTTAAAAAGAAGAAACATTTCCAAATGATTATTGGTACCTTTCAAAGCCCCAGAATATGAAATTGGTTTGATAATATAAAAATACTTGTTGCGTTTAAGTAACTTATTAAATCGGCGAAATGTCTCAAAGAGTTTCACAGTCACCACACCTTACAATAAATCCTGTGTAGCAGTTTGAGCCATCCTCCTGACATGAAAAGCACAATATCAAAGCAAGGATTAATATTACTCATATGCATAGAAATCCCATGTGACTGAGTTCCTGCATGATGAACATAACCCAGGCTGAGGCATCACTTTTGGAAGTGAAGAGGAATAAATTAGAGGGGGAATAAAAGGAACGGCATTTTCCCTATTATAACAGAAGTGAAATACTAAAAACATCAATTATTGTGCCATGTGATTGCCTTGGTTATAAGAAATAATATAATCCATGTGATGTTTAGCACATTGATTAGTGTCAGAACCTGATCCCTCACCCATTTCTCAATGCTGAAGTCAGAAAAGCCAAATCCACACTTTTGGACTTTGGACTCATGGATTGACTGGTTAGCAAAGCACTGGCCTGTTGAGGTTTTAGTTGAGTGCGAAGCTGGTATCCCTATAACCAGCAGTTAAAAGCCAGAATCTCTGAGCGAGAGGACCATTGCTGTGGACCTGGTCTCTCAGACATCATTATTCAAAATGGCTTCATATTTTGCTTCTGGTCTTTCCACTGTGATAACAATAACTTGCATTTATATATTGCCCATGATGGAGGGTAGAGTCTCAGAGCCCTTTACAGAGCTTGACCCCGAGCTGGGGGGAAGGAGGAGGTAACCGTAAGCTTGGTTGAAGAGGAAGGTCTCTCATATGCAGTCACAAACCTTACCCCAGCATATTACATTTTATCCTAATCTTATAAAATAGGTCTGAATTTACTGTTGTGGAGAAAGTTAAGCTAAAGTTCATTTTCGCCAGTGAACATATTTAAAAATAACAACCTCCTTTAGAACTCTTAACCAAAATATGCAATAAATTAAAGTGATCTAAATTTACAAAGCAAAGTCTGCAGATTTATCTTATGTTTTGTCCATCCAAATGAACATGTAACTAAAGAAAGCAAGAAGGTTAAGAGAGTTGTTTCAGTTTAATGCGTCCAGTTTCAAAGTAAAAGACTCAGAAAACAATGATTAATGATGATAACTATCATTTTTTAGAGAATACCCAGCCATTGCTAAAAGACCTTGGTGTTTTAGCTACTTTTACATTTGAAAGAATATAACCCATTACTTAACAGAATTAAACTTGAAAGAATTATGGCCCGGACCTGATTAGTCTGTAGGTAGTTGATAATTTCATTTAGATTTTTGTCTCCTGTGAATATCAATGACTTTGTCAGGCACAGCTTTTAAGAGAGAATTGGATAGGTATCTGGGGAAGACGGGTTTGCAGGGTTATGGGGAGAAAGCTGGTGATTGGGGTTAGTGAAAGTGACTTGCTCTGTCAAAGAGCCGGCACAGACTCGATGGGCCGAATGGCCTCCTTCTGTGCCGTAACATTCTATGAACCTATGAATCTATGAAAGCATCTATTAAGGATAATATAATTTTGCAGTGCTGAAATCCATTCTCTTCTGTGAATGGAAAATACTTTTGTCAACTACTGTTTCTTTACATTTCGAGCACTTCGAAAATACATTATTAGTATTTATTAGGATGGTCTTGAGATTTTTATGTAGTCACACATAGACAAGGTACTTTTCATCATCCAGTAGCAACATTTATAAATTACAGAAGGTTTCTTTTGCAACTTTCCTTCAGGATGAAGTCTGTCCCAAAGCTGAAGGTGAAACAGTCCAACGTTGTTTGTGGGCCACCGCGGTGAACATCAAGAACAAGTACATCTATATCACACAGCCCAATCTGAACAGAGTGCTGATCGTTGATATCCAGTCGCAAAAGGCTGTGCAGGTCTGCATTGTTTCATTATCATTATTTGAGTTAAGCCGTGGTGAACAAATAGATTTTCATGAATAAATAATAAAAAAACATATTCGATACAGCAGTTATATGCCAAAACAGTTGAAGCACTTCAAAATCCTTCTACCTTAGATATGTACGTCGTCTAGCATTATAGTGGTTTGCGTATAAACTAAATATAAACTAACATCTCAGAATATCAAGTGTGAATCTCTTTCCAGCTTACAATGGAATCCATTCAATAATATAAAATATTGCCATAAACCTGTTGTAAAATTGTAAGGCTTGTATTTCATAATTACATAGCTAATTAGCAAACGTTTTAACAAATATTTTGTTCACAAGTATATTAGGTTTAAAAAATTAGGCATACTTTGACAAACATTTATAATTAAATTTTTTTTGCTTATATTTACTTTGACTTTCTTAACGGTGATTCTTTTGCGAACAGTTTTGCTTAAACTGTGAGCACTGATGTGATGTTGGAAGAATTGATTTTCGGGAGACTCTAAGAATAAGAGTAACGTTCTTAACTCAAGGGATGAGTTACCAGCTTACCATTTACAGTTACCATTTACCTGGGCATGTTAACTCAGCTTCCTAGCATTGTTGGGATCAGTAACTCATACAAGCTAGCTCCTCAGTGATCTCATCAAGATTCAATATTTTAAAAGAATTACAGAAATAAAATGTCACTTTTTTGCCCACTCCTATTTGCATTCTTTTATTCTTCCTCTCTCAAAGGCAGAATCATTGCAAGGCGTCACTTCCATACACATCACTAGCCTTCCAGATCCTCACTTAAGTTGCTATTTTGAATTAGTGGGCTTTCATCTGGACTCGCAGAGTGCTATTCAGCTGTTGCGGAGGGCAGAACTTTGATCACGAATAAAGCTCCTAGTATCATGCCTCAACAATGTGCCCCAGTCTCAAAGTGAGATGAATAACTCTTATTGGACTAACAACAAATTTCTATAGTGCATTTCATGTCAGAAGGACATTTCAAGGCGCTGAACAATCAGAGATGCACACCCGAGCTGGTAGTTGGGATGAGGAGAGGTGGAGGGCAGGGAAGGTAGAGGTAGGAGGGTGACCGAAGGCATGGTCGAAGAGGAGGGTCTTAAGGTGGGTCTTGAAGGAGGCAAAGGAGAGGGCGAGGCAGAGGGACTGTGGGATGGAGTTCCAGAGAGTGGGGGCAGAGAGCCTGAAGGCCTGCCCGCTACTGGCCCAGCGGGAATGGTGGGGGATGTAAAGCAGCCTGGAACCTGCTGATTGGAAGGTGTGGACATGTTGGTAGGGGGTTAGGAGGTCACAGACATAGGGAGGAGCAAGTCCATGGAGGGCTTTGAAAGTGAGGACCAGGATCTTGAACCATATCCTCTGAGAGATGGGGAGCCAGTGGATCCTGGCGAGGATGGGGGTGATAGAGTCACGGAGCCTGGTGCGGTTGAGGACAGGTGTTGCAGAGTTCTGGATGATCTGCAGCCTGTGGAGGGAGGAGTTGGGGAGGTTGACAAGCAGGGAGTTTGCATAGTTGAGCCTGGATGTGATGAATGATTGTATGAGGGTCGCGGCAGCCTGCGGTGAGAGACAGTGGCGGAGCCAAGCAGGTCATGGCACGGATGTGGGAGGTGAAGGACAGTTGAGGGTCGAACAGAACAGCGAGATTCCGTATTGGCTACATGAGGTGTACAGTGCATCCATGGAGGCTGGTGCTGTCAGTGCCCGAGGCATGGAGGCGCTGACGGGAGCTAAGCAGGAAGGCCTCAGTTTTGTTGACATACAACTCGAGGAAGTTCGCTCTCATCCAGGACTTGATGTCTGACAGGACCAGTGTGAGATTGCTCCATTTCTTATGCAGGCTGTAGAATACAATGCAAACTTACATTTATACTGTATAACGTCTTTCAAGTCGAGAGGATTCCCCCAAGGCAGTTAACAATAATGGATTGACACCTGAGCTGGCTGCCATCTAGATAATCGTCAATAATATTTCTAAATTGAGGGTAGTTTTGCGCTGAGGAACAATGCCCACTAGGACGGAGGTTGAGACTACCCAAAACATTTCGGACAAGAATGTAGAAAAAGTTTGGAAGTAATTATTGACTATTCATTGAAAGAATCCATTCCTGCTGGTCAATTACCTTAACAGTCCTTTTCAGCTGTGCAACAGCTATAAGTCCATGAATCTGATAATTCATTTTCCATATGAATTAAAATGAATTATCAGAGTCAACGGCAAAATTACAACAACTGATTTGCAAGAAAATGTCATTATATTATGTGGCAAAAAACATTTTTCGGAGAAGGCCTGGCAAGTGCTTTTGTAGATTTTAATGATACAAAATACACCGTTACCAAGTATAACGAACAGCTGAAGCTCAGACAGGTTCAGAACCCTCCTTTTTATTTATGGGCAGCTGAATGTGTGGTCACTTAGTCATTTACAATAACAGAGAGAGCTGGTAAAACTTAGCAGGTCAGACAGCATCACAAAGTGAGTCAACGTTTCGGGTTGCAACAACTGATTTGCAAGAAAATGTCATTTTAATATGTGGGAAAAAACATTTTTCGGAGATGTGGACTCACTTCCCTTTCTCCATAGATGCTGCCTAACCTGCTGAGCTTTCCCAACTTTCTCTGTTTTTGTTTCAGATTTCCAGCATCTGCAGTATTTTGTGTTTTAGTCATTTACAATGTTGCACTGATTATTACTGAATAACAGACAGTGAACACTATTAAACTCCTGCAGATAGCAAGCTCTCAAAAGTAACAAGATTCAGCTCCATTTTAAATTATCATGGAAATTGAGCACTGAAATCTCACAGTGAAAGGATAAAACCTGCTGAACAATGTCTTGATCGTGGGTGGTATGTTCATTATATCATTCCTAGCTTAGATTACATCCACTCAGCTAAATTCTCTATGCTGCTTGTCAATAGACTGTAAATGAGGACATTTTCTCACAATGAATACTTTATGCATCACAAAGCCTCCTATACCTCAGTGCAAAATTGACTTTGCCTTGTTAATGAGCGTCAAAAGTTAGAAAGTATCCTAAAATGCCTATGTATCTGCTGATGAAACTTGCTTTTAACCAATTAGCTTTGTGAGACAAACAATTTGCACAAAACAAAGATATGGAACAAAATAGGCCAAAAGCTCAGTGTGAGCAAACGGCGTAACTGATCTCATGATCCAGAGACCAGCACCTCCACTAAAGTTAGCTGTATTTCTTAAAGTGTAAGGAAGGTCATTGCACAATTTATTTCAGCTTGTGGTACTTGGAATGAAACTTCATCTGGTAGTACTGTAGTATCTTGGGGAAGCTTCCCACATTCCCATACTCCACAATTTCCAATGTCCCACAAACAGCCATGAAGTGAATGACAAATTGACCAGGACAACTGGAGAAACACCATTGTCTTTCCAAACATTGTCATGGGATAGAGATCTCTTGCTATCTTTAGCAGTGTACTATGCAACGCAATGATAGTTACTTTAGTGGTCAGCTGGCAGATGGGACTCAGGCATCTCAGATCAACTGTTGCCAGATTTTCTGACGAGGGCAGCTTTAAGTTCCATTCATTGGATCACAGAAACGGAAGAAATCTGATAGGACCATTTTGTACAGCTGTTTTATGTTGTAGCAAAGCCATTCTAATGGCCATTCGCAGCCTCAAACATTGCTAACAACGAAAATCAGGCCAAAAGTGAAAAGAAAAAAGAAAAACATCTATATTTTGTGATGCATTTACTGCCCACCTGGCTGTGCCTCTTGTAATTTGATAAGTTTCAATTTAGGGGTCCAAATATGACTAGAATACATTTTCTGTGATATTATTTCTCAAACAGGAATCTGATATGTTGCCTCTATCTCATTTTCAAATCTACAAGGAGCTAACAAAGCTGCTACCACCATGCTTCTCAGCAATCTACTTCCACCACTGCTTTAAATACTTTGATTTTTTTTCCCCATCATTAAACTCAGTAATGCCAACTCTGATCTTATCCCTTGTTGATGTGCCTACTCAGCTGTTCAGTACTGGTCGACTTCCTCCTTAATGGTTTTTTACAAGCTAAACTGACAGTGCTTTTTGCTGGCAGGATTTTTTTTCACATGTTCTCAAAGAAGGTGGGAATGTTAAGGAGGAGCAACAGATTATCAATTATCATAGTCTCCCAACATTTTGTATTTCTTTATTTACAGAGAAATTTACAGCGCAGAAGGAGGCCATCAAGTCTGCACCGGTTTTTAGAGCACTATAGTTCCACTATCCTGCCCTATCCGCATACCCCTTCAAGCCTTTAACTTTTGTATACCTGTCTATTTCCCTCTTGAAGCCCACAATGGATTTTGTTTCTATAACCTTACTTGGCAGGGCATTCCACATCCCAATAACTCTCTGAGTGAAAACAATTCTACTAAGTTCTTTTTTCACTCTGGTTGTGATTATCTTATATCTATGTCCTCTGCCAAATTTGAGATTGCTATTAACAATGGCATCAGTGTTTCTTCTTTGAGTGTGTGTGTGGGGGAGAGAGAACATGTTCTTAAATCATTAAGAATACTCATAGACAAAAAATGGCTATGTATTGATAATGCGATGTTTAGAGAGCATATTTTAAGTTGAAGGTCTAATAGTAAGCTTTATGAATGTACTTTAGTAATGATGTGCCCAGGACACAATCGGTATTATGATTTGTATTTAAAATGAAAGCCTTTATGGAATATGAAATTGCTGAAGTGTGGAAGTGAGCTAAACAAGATGTCTATGAAACCAAGAAAGTCTTGTCATGTGAAAGCAGAAGGATTAATATGCCCATAAAACAGATATTCCCTTCGAACCTTCCTGGGGTGGACACTGCAGAGGGAGACTCTGAAGGAGAAGGAACCATTAACAGCAAACGTTCTTCCAGAACAGCGGCCTGTTTTATTGTACAAATTGTTTAATGCAGTCAATTACTTAAAATCTCTTCAAGAGTGAATATTTTGCTCTTTAAGGTGCATCAAAAAGACACACACATCACTCGCGTGTTACGCCATTTATATCAAGGAAATGACAGTGCAATCATATTCAAATAATCACCATAATAGAATGCTAACTTTTCTGTCCTCAGTTCTCAGGGTTGAGATGTTGATTTGCCATAACAGTAGATTTCAATATTTTTCAATGTTTCTTGCAAGGATGATGGGTTTAAAAAATGACCATTTGTTCCAGAATTGAATCCTCCCTCTACTTGTGTATTTTGTATTGATTTAACAGATCCAACTAGCTCAGTTTGCTGAACATGATGTTACCGCACTTAAAATTTGTACTTATTTGAAGTTGTATTCACTGTGGCCTGTTTTGGGGCTGACATTTTTACAACTATTATTTGATTTAATTTGAAACAAATCCAGAATTGCACCAAATGCTGCACTTGTGTAAATTTGTGATTTTGCGAAAGAAATAGCAAGCGTTAAATTGTGATTTTAATAATAATAATGTTATGATAATAATAACTTTGGATGATTTATAAAATTTCCAAAAGCACTGATGGTGATTTCTGAAAGCCAGAGAGCAAAACATCATCTCTTTACTCTCTCTCACTTTTTTTTCCCCTCTGGCTTTTTTTTTTCCTTTTGGCAGCTTTCAACCCAGCTCTGGCTCCCATTAGTTTTTTGAAGCGCTTTGAGATGTCCGCTTGACATGGCGTTAAAAATTGTTGGTGTCTTAGAAGTGACAAACACCAACCAACCTCACTATATAACACTCCACTGTTTAGTGCAGGTCTGATTATAGTGTAGTTTAAGCAGCTTGATAGTCTTGGCTGGTCATTGGAACGTTACCTTAAGGAAAATTATCATTAGTCATAGTTACACGTGACACTGAGAAATCACACCCAACTTAGTGTTGTGTTAATATATGGCTAAAGATTCCTGTACCCATTTTCAGTATTGGATACTTATATGTTAATAAATCAATGAATTCTTCTATGTTCGGATGGAAGTTATTACTTATTGTAAGGAGTTTCCTTTCAGTCACTAAGGCTAACATTTCTCATGGTCTTAATTTTAAGACCATTGCCTTAAATTGTCAGAATGTGATGAATTCCAGACCTTATGTTTTGGTAGCAGATCTCTCCATTACAGTCTGTAATCACAAATTAGTCAATTACTTATTCCATTGCAGGTTGTAACCACTTATCTAATTGATTTATTTCTCTATTACAGTCTGTGACCACTGATTTAATTGTTTATTCTCTTCATTACAGTCTGTGATCACTGATCTAACCAATTACTTTCCCCATTACAGTGATGTCATTCATTTCTCTATTCATTATAGTCCATAACCATTGATCTAATGAATTACTTTCTCTATTACAGGCTGTAACTATTGATTTAATTTTGCTTACACTCTCCATTACAGGCTCTTACCACTGATCTAATCAATTATTCTCTCCATTGCAGACCGTAACCAGTGATACGATTCATTTCTCTCTATTGCAGGCTGTAATCAGTGATCTAATTAACTTCTCCCTCCATTACAGTTTGTAGCCACTGATCCAATTCCAGTGAAACTTCACTACGACAAATCACATGACCAGGTTTGGGTTCTCAGTTGGGGCGATACCGAGAAAAACTCACCAACACTGCAGGTAAATATCTCCCCCTCAATCCCACAATACTCAGTTTAAAACACCTTTTCCAACAGGAATGTAATTATAATGAATCAAAAATCGAAAAGGCGAGAATGTAGATTGTATTAATAGAAATAACAAGATTCATTGAGAAAAATTCAGTATTTCATTGATTATTATTAATCTAGAGAAATATCTCATTGAAATTAAGCCTGGATGACTGTCAATATCTATTGCAAATACATAACAGATTGTTTGAGAAAGGCTGTCTGCTAGTCACCTGAGATCCAAGACCAATCTTCCCCAATAGACTTAATTTAAGCAAGGTAGCTCAATGAGGGAATTGTTCTTACCTTTCTGTTAAATGGTAGTGAATGCTTTAAGCATTCTGAGACACTACCCTGTATGGGGGCGCTATATAAGTACATGTTGTTATTGTTGTTGCTTTGGATTGGTGAATTTACTAAAGAGAGAACAGTTACTAATGTGTGTTCCTGCTCTCTTCCCCTTCTTTGGGAGACCAAAGATAATAATTCCTCCAAAAAAAATTAAAAAAATAATAAATTGGTCATCTCAATCTACGACTGTTTGTGGGACACTGCTGTGCGAAATTGACTGCCGCATTTCACCCACAAATATATGGTCAATTCACTTTACAGTCTATTCTGTGAAGCGCTTTGAGACATCGAGAAGACGTGAAAAGTGCTATATCAAATGCAAGGATTATTATTATTATTGTAAAACCAATCTGGCAAAGGTTTTCCTGGAGAAATTACAATCAGTGATCTGTTGTAAGGCTTGGCTCTTTATCATCAGTGCCAGGGAAATTTGCAAGTCTCTTGGGTGAGGTTTGAACTCGCAGCTTTCTCATTCACACTGAAATGATGACAAACTGAATTGAAATTGCTTTACAGTGAAGCCAAGATAGATCCATTTGCAATGTCTTCTGTTTTACTTTGATGCTTCATATATGTTTCATGGCCTCTTCATATATTTCCCAACCCCCTATCTTGTTTACAATCTTTTGGCCATGGATATGTTTTTCAAATGAAATAATAATCCCCAAATAATCCTTACATTTTATATAGTGCCTTTCATGTCAGGAGGGCTTCTTGAAGCAAGTCACAGGATATACTGTAAAATTCACTGGATGTTTTGTGGGCCAAAGCAGCAGCCAATTTATGAACAACAATATCCCACAAACAATTATGAAACGAATGACCAATTTTATTTGGGGGATTGTTGGCCAGACACCAGGAGAAGCCCCCTTCTCTTTTCAAATAGGTTATCAGATATAGAATTTCCTAACAAAGCCAACGGTTGTAGTAGAATCAATAATAGCTTTTAAAAGGGATTTGGATAAAAATCTTAAGAAAAATATAAAAGGGTATAGGTGAAAGGGCACGAGAGTAGGTTATATAGATAATTCTTTTGGAGAGCAGGTATGATACGCCAAATGGCGTCTTTCAGTGCTGTAAAATCCTACAATGCTGAGTGTAAGACTAGAATCATAAAAAAATATTATGTTCTTTGTTATTGACAAAGGTTAGAAATGATGTAAAACCACTCATAGAAAGCACAAATAGTTTCTTCTTATACCACGTGTTCACACCTTATGTTTTAATATTTTGCTACATTTTATCATGAGACGGTCACATAACCTTAAACAATATCTGTCTATTCCAAATGCTGTTATGTCTTTCATAACTAGCAATTAAGTGCGGAAGTAAGCAAACACGTTTGAAACAATGATAGTGATAATAAAACTTGCAGATACATTTCAAAGGTTAAGCCTTGATGAATATTTAATCACTGATACTGTTCAAATAAAAATGCTTGATTAATGATTTTATTCTCTATCCAGGAAGAGATGGGGTCATTAATTGACATTGCAGCTCTACTGGGATAAGATTCTGTACCTTTATTGCACTTATCTACTTAAATATAATCAGTGACCAGAACAGAAAAGATTATAAAATGCTATGACCTTTCACAATCAGCTACGTACAAATTGTGTTCACTCTCGACTGAATAGCGAATTGGATATGAATTGATTTATCATGGAAATGAGCTAACAGTGATATCAGAACCTTTTAAAGAAGAAATGTTTTTTAAAAATTATTAAATCAAAAGGTATTCAATCAATGAACATTTTTTGTCCAAAAGGACCTGCCTTCCCAAATCTGAATATTTATATATCAGTAAATATTGTCACATAGAAGATTGGATGAAGAAGGCCCTTTGTCCTTTTTGATCTCAACTTTAATGGTCACTGAACAATCTGCCCGAAAAACGTCCTTGCATTTTTTAAATAAGTCCAACATCCTGGCCTCAATTGCCCAACACTTCCCTGACTGGTAATCAAACTTCAGACTCTGGCAGTGAGAATGATGAATGCTAACCATCAGACCATCAGGGAATCCTCATGCTTAGCAGGAATGGATCACGTATCTTTTCCATTTCATTTGTGTCGGTGTCAGTGTATTATTTCACTTGTGTCTTCCATGCAGGTGATTAATCAGGCCAGCGGGAGCACAGCCCATCACACTATCCACACTCAACCAGTCGGCAAACAGTTTGACAGAGTGGATGATTTCTTCATTCCATCGACAACGCTCATCATTAATCACATCAGGTAGGTGTGTGGGTATACAACCCCTAACAGGATGAATTCATTCACAGCCTGGCTTTCTATGGGAGAGTAAATGAAGAGTCCAACATTCCTCTTTAGTTTTAACAGGGTGTCAAAATGCTGTTCTTATTTTAATGAAATGCTATCAATCACACGAGTGCCTGATATTCCTGAAGGCTGTATCCATTTACCTAGTGTTAGGAAGAGTGCAGGTAATGATGAGCAACCATATTCTGAAGCAGTTAAACCATTACCTGAGTCCCGTAAAACTCTTAACCATCTAAGATTACTGGTATAAGGTGCAGAGATCAAAGTAAAATTAACCAAGGACCAATTGTTCAAAATTTCTGGTGAGTTCAGGCTAATGTGTTAATTGGATGATGCCAAGACATTTTTGGCTGGGGACTAATATGCTTAGGAGGTGCCAAGCATCCAATTTATGTGACAGACACTCATTGGCAAAAGTGCCATTCAAAGGATCAGACAGGAAAACAAAAGGATTAAAATAAAGGTTGCATTTTGCTATGCAGTGCAATCACATAATGTTCTGTCCTGTGCTTAATACACTCTTTATTAATGCTATGTTGCCCTAAGCAGAAGGGCGTAAGGGTATATGCAGATTGAGAATTAAATCCTGTCGGTTCAACTTATTGTATCCGCACTTGCAATCGCAAGAGAGTCTCTCTACTACTTTGCAGTCTCTGTGTTTTACTGTAGCTAAACAAAAGACTGCATTTTTCTTTAAACGTATACTTTTTTGTTTTATATATTTATTCCCTTTGCAATTCTCTCTGAAGGTTGAGATTGGCTTTGTCAGGAGAGCCAATGGGAAGCTACTAATTATAGCAGCACCAATTTATCAGCTGAAGGTCAGGAGGCGGAAGAGACATGGCTTTGCTCTGAGCTGAGAGATCACCTGAACCAGCCAGACAACATTACATTACAGTTCTTGTTTTCACAATCTTCAATTATCATTTCAGAATTTAAGCTTCTCTCCGCTTGAATTCAATTTTGTTGCGGCAGATTTTCCCTTAAAAAGATTTTAAAGTATTTTGATCAATTATTCATGTTGGTGGTTTTTACCTATTTATTCTCCTCTGTGACAGTGAAACAGGAGGATTTGAGCAGCGATATCAGTGAAAACAGGTAGCTGACGTGCTGGAGTGGGGTGGGGGTTAACATTACCTCCAGGATCTGCAGCATTGCTCCATATACTATTTTTCTCCTTATAGAAATAAATAGTTGACCGTTCATGAACAAACTTTATATCCTACATTGCTAATTGCCTTCAGTTGTCAACATCTGAACAATGGACAATATCAGCTGATAATAGTAGTTGTTAGTATCTGTGCATTGAATATGTTCTACTTTTAACCTTTAATCTGCTGTTTTTTGACATCTTATCCGAAGGACGGCATCTCCAACAAGTGCAGCACAGTTTCAGCACTGCTTAAGATTGTCAACATAGACTATGTGAGTTCAAAGTCCCGATGTGGGGTCTGAACTCACAATGTTCTGACTCAAAGGAGACAGTGCTACCAACTGAGCCAGACTAGGACACTTCAGTTACTTAGAAGTACAGGGACTGTTGTAATGAAACTAATAATAATCCTTGTATTTGATATAGCACCTTATCACATCTCCAAGACGTCTCAAAACGCTTCACAGAATATACTGTAAAGTGAATTGACTGTATATTTTGTGGCAAAACAGCGAATTGTGCACAGCAGTGTTCCATAAACAGTCGTGGATTGAATGACCAAAATATTACTATTTTTTAAATTTTATTTTTTTAAGGGATTATTACACCCGAAATCAGAGGTTTGTGGAGTAAGGAAACTTGTCTAACATTTTGCTCTGCCCGGGAATCAAGTCCAGGTCCTCTCACATGCGAGGTGAGTGCTCTAGCCATTGAGCTACAGGACTCCATGTAACATCTGGAAAATAGCAATGAGCTGCATGGCTAAATGCAGTTTATTTTTCATGACTTTGGATCAGGGAGGAATATCGGCATTTTGTGAGTTGCGCAAACTATATGTAAATATTGATGTTCTGCACCATCTATAAACAAAATGTAAAGAGAGAATCACAGACGCACTTAACGGTTTAATTAACTAATGGAAATGATTGGTTTAATTATTTGTAAATTCTTTCCATTGGGTGTCAATTCCTTAATTTAAGGAATCTGTAAATTCATTGTATGCAAATGTTTGACATGTGTTTTCACCTGGTTTACTGGTTCACATGCACTACATGGTTTATTATAGTGCAAAATACACATGCATTTACACGTTTTACACAACTCACATAACAGACCCCCTTGTGCTGAGCACTGGAAGAATTATTTGCTCCTTTTCTAAATACTGCATTTTCATGAGATCTTAACCAGATTTTCCTCTTCCAGATTTTCATTAACCACCAGAATAGATATATGGGACATTGATTTAACATGTCATTTAAAGGACTTTCTATTCATATTTTTGGAGTTCATGAAAGTTTATCTACAAGTTAATTAATAGTCCAATTACTGTATGTTACAGAAATCATTTTGAACATGCATTAATCCTACAGTACAACTCCAGTATAAGGATCTTGATTTGGATTTAGAAAGGCAGTGAGCAATCTGTCACGGCTCTGTGTTCATAACCACAGCTGGTCTGACGCATTCTTGGATAGTCTTTAAGATTTTTCATGTGAATAAAGAGCCGTTGGTACTCCTGGATCTGAAACAAATTGATATTCTGATCGCCTTCAAAGCCCTCCACAGCCTTGCTCCTTCCTACATCTGTAACTTGCTCACTCCATATCTACCTGTCGCTCCCTTCGTTCAGCAGTCCTGCTGCACGTCCCCTGCCAGCCCGCCCCACCATTGGTGATCAAGCCTTCAGCCTCTCTTCAGCTCTCACCCTTTGGATCTCCATCCCACAGACCTTTCGTCCTGCTCCCTGCCTTGCCTCCTTCAATGCCCATCTTAAAACCCTCCTCTTTACTGCACCTTCAGTTACCCTCCTACCCCTACCTTCCCTGACCTCCACCCCTCCTCATTCCAACCCCCTGCTCAGGTCCAAATCTCTGACTGTCCAGCGCCTTCTGATGTGAAAGGTGCTATACAAATGCAATTTGTTGTTGTTGATGTTGTTGCTGTGCAACAGAGCCCAACACAAGTTGCTTTTTCTTCAAGTTAGTGCAGGGACTCAGCATGCAGTGCCACTCTGTGATGCTGGTTCTAACTGTTTAGGCAGTGGGTACTGCTTTGATATGGTTCTCACTCTGAGCCATAATACTGCACATTGATACTACAGAAGATAAAGATTGACAGCAGCATTGAAGAATTGGAATCAGCACAGTTGATGAAGTTGTTACAAATCACCAGTTTTAAATATTTAAACACTGGGTTGAGTAGACCAATTGTCGCAGTCAATCATTGGCAGTCACTTTGAAAATAAGGCAACCATGATCCTATTGATCAGAAGTATGACAACAGGCAACTTTCTACTCATTTTATTTCAAGATGTATTTCAATGGGAGCTTATTAGCATTGCCTATTCCTGAGATACTCTCTATTATATCACCCAGCTCCTTCTAATCTGTACTCCATGAGAGATTCTTGCCTCCATGACACTATCTTAACAAGCTTATCAGTTGTATTTCTCAACATAAAAGGCAATGCTCACAGTTTACTGCAGATGAGCAGTAGAGGAGATAAGCTGGCTTTTTATGACATTTAAAGGCACATTCAGATTATGTTATCAGACCCATTTTATTGTTACTGAATTGTAGGGGGTCTACATTGGTCAGCTCAATGGGATGGTTTTGTGCTTAAAGTAGTTGTAACCTATCTAAACACACCAGGCTTTGACTCCACATCACTGAGCAGGTGGCTAATAAAGATAATGAAGAGAGTTGCTTCAAATACAGTTGCTTGTGGGCCTGTCCGCTCCCTTCATTCAGCAGACCTGCTCCACGTCCCCCGCCAGCATTTTCTCAGGAAAGCCAGCATCTACGTCAAGTATACATTCCATTTTTATCATTGCTAAGCGACCATGATGATAGCTGAGGTCCAAATCAGGATTAAAATGTAAAACAAATGCTATCTCCCTCTTTGCTTTTCGTGGCTTCTTCACACTATTGGCAGAAACAAATTGCAATATTGCCTTCTAATCATAGTTTGCCTTTTGTCTTCTGATTAGTTTGACTGGAAATCAAATTGATTTGAAGGGAGAAAATCATGGTTTAAAATTTATTCAAGAATGGGCAGTAGAGGATTTGTCATTACTACCCAAATCCTATTTTTCTCTTGTGGCTTTACGAGTGGTGTAACCTCAAATATCCACTGCCTGATTATCCACTTTGCAGATAATCCATGATAATTGGGGCGATGGATGATCTCCAGAACATTGCAGAAACATTTAATATAAGTCAGAACGAGAGAGCTCATTCCAGAGTTAAAAGCCTCTGTGTTGGCACAGACGGCCATAGTCCTCCAGTCTCAGTACAGCCTTTGTACCCCGCAACATTCAGAACCAGCAACCAACTCAGCCGTGCTACATTAAACTCTGAACACCTCAGAGCCATAAGACTACTGCCCGAATTTGGCATTAAAGGGTAGGCCAGGCAACTCATGTTAGGCTTTCTGCCATAAGATGGATAGGAGAGGCAGTTCTCCAGGGGTTCTTCAATTGGTAATAACGTCCCACAGTACATGAAGCTCCAGTTTATTTGCAATACCCATGCCATTATTGTAGCCCCTGAGTAGTAATAATAATAATTCTTGCATTTGATATAACGCCTTATCACGTCATTGAGACGACACAAAGTGCTTCACAGAATATACTGACTTTATATTTTGTAGGCGAAATGCAGCAGTCAATTGCACACAGCAGTGTCCCACGTACAGTCGTGGATTGAGTGAAAAAATGCAAATATAAGAAACTAAAAGATTCAGAGGGGAAACATTTGGAGATTGTGAGTTAACATTGGCATTTGTGGGACTGCATTGAATT